CCCCACCATCCTGCCCGCAGCACACTGCACTCAAGCACACTAGCCCTCCTCCGATCAATACAGTACTGGAAATTTGCAAGGGCCGATATGCACTCTGACCCCCAAACCTGGACTCCTGCTCATAATGTACTACCACCATACCCACTCTTACCCTGTACCCTACTCCCACAACTGTGAGCTCCAAGAATTGTATGCACACATCACTTTTACTTTTACCAGCATTAAGCTTCTACACCACTAAAGTTGCAATATCTGCCTCTTTCTTGCATAAAGATATTTATTTTTGCACTACTGAGTACCCCTTCATACCTATTATTTTTTTGTGTCGATGTCCCACATTCATCCACATCTGTGTCCTTGTTGTATTATTCATTTATTGTCATTCTTTGATTATTTACAATGTTATTTGATTGGGCTATATTTAGCTGATCACTTGTTTATTGATGTAACTGGGATGGAGAATAACACAATTTCAGTTCTCTGTATGCATTGCACATATGAAGCATTGGCAATAAAACTACTTGAACTTGTTAACAGAGGTGTCAAAAGTATTCACATACAACACTCAAGTATTATGTGGCAAACAATATTTTTTCTTCTTTGTGCACCTTTTCTTATTCAGTGTTTGATAAACGTTTTTTTTTTTTGTTGTTTAGTTTCTTTTAATGAATGAAATAAAGTATAGATATTAGGGTTTAAAAATACTTCTGTAGAAGTTGAAGTATCAACTCAAGCTTTTTACTCAAGTGCTAAAGTACTGGTTTTAAAACTACTTCAAAGATAAAATTAATGTAAGGGAAGCACATATTAAAAGGCCACATTGACCATAATGCTATATTAAAATATTAATGTTGAATAATTTGGGATGCACTCATCTACTTGTTTCAGCTGCATATCTATTTCTGCCATGGTCATCTTCATACAAGGCTACATACATCTGATATGTCCTGCTGGAGTGCAACGTGATTTGTGTCATACAGGTGTGATGGATTGTACAAATCAATAGGGTGATGAATTGTTATATACTGTTTTTATACTCTTCATCCAACCACAATGGAATTCACTCTATTCGGGAGGCACCATATATCTGATTAGGGTTCTTTGGAACAATGAAAAATGAGTATCCAATTATTTTTAAAATGTACAAAGTACAGATAATTGTGTGAAAATGCAAGGACTAGAAGTGAAAAGTTGGCTGAAAAATACAGTGGTTTGCAAAAGTATTCATACCCCTTGAACTTTTCCATATTTTGTCACATTACAACCACAAACATAAATATATTTC